GATCTTTCTGACTCAACTTGCAGTGAAATGTGTTAAATAAACTGGCTTAATTGTCCTTTTTTAGACTCAGGAGGGTCAGGTGATGTGCTGCTGGCGGGAGAGCTGAAAAATGTACTATCAAACATATCCTCTCCCCTCGCTGTGCTGACCTCCGAGGTGTTGGACCCGTCCACTCTCAACAAAGTCGCTGGTGAGAAACAGGACTGTGGTGGATACTGTTGTAGTAAGAACAGATGATTGCAGTGCTCGTGGATTTAGTGATCTTTTGCACATCTTGCAGAGTTCCTTGTATCAGAATTGCAAGCAGCTCACATTATCAAGTACAAAGAGTCAGATCCTGACGAGCGGGCGACAGAAGCGGACTCTGAAAAAGAGCAGCGAGTTGAAGATCTGAGCCGTGACTTTTGTGAGGAAAACGAAGGCGATGATGGTTCGGGTGAAAACAGGAGGAAAGCAGAGATGCAAGCAGAATGGATTTTACTTCTGCGTGCTCTCAACATGGACGCCTCCTCTCTGTTTGAGGACGTTTTGAACGAGGTAAGCTTGAAATAACAGAGATTGAGCCATGAATAAATTGCGAATACAGACTGAGAAGCACTGAAAGAGGAGTTTACAAACATTTGCTTTAATGCAGGTGAGTGAGAGGCTTTCTCGCCTACCAAGTGGAGACATGACCAAACCTCTTCTCAGCACCAGCCTCAGCTCAGAGCAGTGGGTAAGCTGCCAGGCCTGTTTTCAGCTCTCAAGACTTTAGGCGTGACTCTAATGTGGCATTTGCATCTTTGCCTGTTTCTCAGCTTCAAGTGAAAAAAATGAATGAAATTCTGTCCGAGGACTATCGGCGTCGGCGACAAATGATGGTCACGCGCTTTCAGGTTACGCTTGAATCATTTGCATGGGGAGAGAAACAAAAGGTAGGAATGTTAAATAACTCTGTTCATCATTTGCCTGTTAGCTGGGTTATTTTACTTTGAGCCTTGGTTCATCTCTTCAGTCTATTCCCTTTTAATAAGAAAATCTTAGTTCAGCAGTGGTAGTGCATGAGGAAGCTTTGGACTGCCCATCTACCTGCAGAGGGCGTCTCCTGTCAGATGTGGGCCCTATAAAAATTGTGCTCTTGTGGCTCTTGCCTGTGCTATTGCCAGTCTGCCAGCCAGCTGCAGACAAGAGCGAAGTTCTAACATGCAAAGAGCTGAAGTGAAACAGAATGTTAAAAACAATGAAAAGTGTGCACTGTAGCCCCTTCCTCAGCTTTTCATAATGTATTTTTTCCACTTCTGGTGAACTCTGCTGTTCCTTATTTCGGCCCACTTTTCAACCAATCAGCATTTAACTGATGCACAGTGTCTTCCACATGGGGCACTGCACAGTTGAGATTTTGTTCAATTGCAATGGTGGTTTAAAAACCCGTCTCCAGAGGCAAATACTGACACAACCTTGGTCGCATACCGTAATTTAAGCATAAGGCAGATTTCTTCTACTTGGGTGCCCCTCGCAAACAGAAGCTTTGAACAGCAGGTGGAGCTTTTACATCGGAAGTCAGATTTTGGAGCTGCGAGTGATTTTGTACCAAGTAAACCCCATGGCAGGCTTCCAGGCAGTGTGTGGAGTATAACATAATGATTATTCATTTATTTACTGTGCTTAAAAATGGCACCTCAGCACAGAGAGCCTGGTCAGTACCACGTGTATGGTTTATTTAGCAGTCACAAATACAGAACACTGGTTGTAAAGATTACAAGTTCTCACCGCTGCCACCTCAGATTACAAAGGTAGGGTTGGTGTGATGTCTCTGACTTTTTACGTGGGAAGTCCAACTTGATTCAGGGTTTTAGCTGAAAATTCCAGCTGCAAACTTGAAATTTCCAACTTCTCACTGAAAATGGAATACAGCACGTATCCACGAGATGACCATTTTAAGGGTGTCTTTACTGTCTGATATGAGTTGAATGCAAGAGTAGTAAAGAAGTGTTTGAAACTGAGCGTTTAGTGTAGTCTGAAGTCTAAATGTTTAGTTTGCAGGGATTACTTGTTCATATGCTTACCTCATCCAAACTTTGACTGTTTAAATATGAGAATTAATACAACAGAAAATATGGCACGGAATAGGTCCACTTTAATGTGACTGAGAATGAAGAAACCCAGGTTAGAGTAACATTTGTGAAGACACTTAGCAGCACTCTGAAGTTTATTTAATGCACAAAATGAGTTGCGGTTCTTCATTTGCATCTGCATCAAATATCTCCAAAATGCATGAGAACCCTGCCTTCTCTAACACCTGTAACAAGTAGAGTGTATGTAATAAAGAAGATGAGCAGCACATCTGAAGCCTCAATCTGAGATTTTGACTGTCATCATTTTCATCTTCAAACTGAAGGAGGGTGGATGTGTGTTCATGCAGGAGTGATTGCAAGTTAGGCATTCCCTGATTCATCATCTTTCTCTTTTTTTAAATCCTACTTGGTGCCGTAATTGATAAAATCAATGCCATGCTGCAGTAAATAGGACTTAAAACTGCTGACTGAGATGATAAATTCATTAGGAAGGCTCATAAATTTAGTGAGAACCCATTTGTCTAATGTCGTCTT